AGAGAACGATCGCGAGAAATCCGTATGCAATTACGCACTTCCATAAAATCAGTTTGCACTGCCTTTAAGTGAAATCAAAGCGAACAATTCCAGGTCTGCAAACGAGTGCTCGGGATCGAACGGACAGAAACGGTGCCGCTCAAATGCACGTACTTTGTGGTTACACGCTCTGGCACGAGAGAGACATGAACAGGTCAACAAGTCACTCACGACCGTTAGAACCAGCGAGTTTGGGGTATGTAACCTTTGTTCTATATGGATCGATTCCCGGGTGGAACATTCAGTCAGGGACGTGTGTCCGTAAAACCCCGCTATATAGGCGGGTACAAATCATCTCAGAACTATAGGATGTTTCAAAGGTGTGCCAACGATACATGGCATAATCGATCTACGCGGCGTCACACCAAGGCAACACAGATATTGATCTAATCAGTAGGTAGGTCATTGGAAAAAGTCCGGTTTACTTCGAAATTGAGGCAGAGCAGACGCATGTTTCCTTTCCATGTATACGCATACTGAATTACTCAATTCATATCCACCAAATATTGCCACCTTCCCTCCTTAAACCAATCAGGGTTTATGTGGTAGATTATTACAACTTGTTTTATCCGAGCTCTTGCAGCTTCGAAATTCTCACCGCAACAGAACTGATTGTTTCTGTGCATCCAAGTACCTGCGAGAACCATCTTGCCTTTCAATGTCAGAGGAATATAGGCAGTCATTTTTGCTTCGAAATCGGCGTTGCAATTCGAGGAAACCTAGGTCTCCATGAAATTTACTCACTCTAGTAGGCTAAACCAGCCGGTAAAACGGCTCACATCAGGGCAACCGATTTAATGATCCTTCTTGACGTCTTTCACTTTCCCAGCCGAACAACCGAGGTCAATTACCCACCGGGTTCGTTCACTCCTAACCGAAGCCCACTCGATCAACGGCCAAGGGTATAACGTCGTGGAAGGGACTAATAATCAGACTCCTTTTCCACATCACCGAAACCTTCATTCTCGCTGATTAACTCACCCAAAAGCATTTCTGTTAAAAACAATTTCTGTCTTTAGAGAACGACCGCATAAATATGACTTTCTGGCAAAACTTTCCGGGTCAAAATGTGTATCAGAAAAAGTAAATCCAAAACCAAAGTTTCGTTGTCTCGTTACGAGTTTGACGTATCGGTGGTCTATTGGGATCGTTTCACAGTGGACAGGTAAAACGCATACAGTACACCGACATAAAAAATGTGTATCCGCATAAATAACACGTTACAATAACTAAGTTATCATTTTGTTGCCATTTGAAAGGGTTTTTGTATGAACAGATCCATGCCATAGTGATAGGATTTCACAACCATTGTTTGTTAGTGAACATCGAACAGTAACCAGTGACACAAATGATTTTTTTCAAGTGATCCAACGTTTGATTACGTCTGATTCACCAAACGGCACCCATATTTCGATTGTGCAGCCGGAAAACAAGGTTGCAAAACAGTTTGTCTAATTTAGCAATTTATTTTAGACGAGTTAATCTTTGTGTTCTTTGTTTCAATGAGCTAGCCTCGACCTATTCAGCACTGCCCTCTCGACCCGATATTGGTTGATAATCCGAAAACTATCGAGCAGAAAAAACGAACTGTGATGAGAGCTCAGATCATGTCGCAGCGCGCTCGCATTGGACTTCACGTGACTAGTCGTTCCCGCTATCGACCTTGCCCCAGGCTTATTGACTATCAATCTGTATTTCAAATGCTGGCCCTGGAAATCCTTCAGTCACAATGACAGTCAGCCCACTCCAGTCCAGTGGCTTGTGTTCTTCACAAACCCGGGGACGTACAGTTATATCAAGAACAAGCAATGTTTGTGATTTTTAAGGACGATAAATGAATCCGACAAACGTCCGGGTACTTCTTGTTTTTCATCACACAGACTTCATCTTATGTGAAATAAATTCAATAAACCCGCCGGGTATGAGACTCGTTTGAGAA